GTTCTTTTTTTTTTTTTAATCTTCCCATGCTGTCTTAATCAATATTTATCAGTTCTTGTGTTGGGGGAGAGAGAGAGCAGTTGATCCCTATTTATTATCTCTGTGCCATTCATAAATCTCTAGCATATTGCCCCTCAGCTGTCTCTTGTCCAGACTGAAGAGTCCTACTTAATTTGGACAAGCTGTGATAAAGCCCTTCTAGACTTTTGATTATTCATCTTGTCCTCCTCTAAACTTTCTCCAATTCCTCTCTATTCACCTTGAGATGGGGAATCAAGATTCAAGATGCAGGTATGCAGTGGTTTATAATTCTTACCATAGCTTATGCTTCATAGCATATGATGATCTCTGCTTTGTTCTCTATTCTGTTCCTAGCAATTTCTAACAGTGGCTTTGCTTTTTAACCACTAATAAGCATTGAATGCAAACAACTGCCTGCCATAACACCAACTTCATTAGAAGTAGTGGTCAGCTCAGAGGTCATCATCACATATGTGAAGTTAAGACTTTATGTCTATGTATAATGAATTTCACCTGTCTTCGTATTGCCTGGCTACTGAGTATTAGTCTTTAGTGTCAGCGCTTCTTCTTTCTTCCTTGAACAACTCAGTATCATAAATAGATTTGATGGGCTGGTTATTCATATTCTTTATAAGATGTTTAGTATTACACTGACCAACAAGTGGCCCAGCATAAATCTATGTGGAACGGGAAATCTCTGTGACTTTCACTCCTTGTAGAACAGACAGTTTACAGAAGAGACCCTATTTCCTGTCTTTAGAGCAATTATTTGTGCAAGGACCTTCTCTCTTCCCTCATGACTGCAGTTTTTTCAGTGCTCTTATTGAGACACCTCACTCAAAGCCTTTGAAAATCTAAGTAGATCTGTCTATCAACTGAATATCTCTTATTAACATGTTTATTAAAGTAAAATTAATGTTCTGAAAACCTCAAATAAATCCAAATATAGAAGAATTAGAACTTGTAGAAGACTAATTTAACAAAAAGGAAGATAAAATCTCTTAAGCATTAGTTGCAATTGCTTTAAAATATTCTGATGTTTTTAAAATTATGTAATTTAACAGTAATTGTTAAATTGTTATAATTAATAATAAGCTAAAGCATGCAGTGAAGCTAGCTGAAATGCTCTGTTTGACGGGGGTGTTGTTGGTGGTGAGTAGCTAGTGTTTCTTATTAGCAAAGTTTTACCTCTCCAATAGCAGCTTTGCAAATGGAAATTTGAGGGAAATCTTTAAAGGACAAAGTAAGTTTTACTCTAATAGCATTTGCTCCTGGTTTGGGTCAGCGTTGTATTTCTCTGTGAGCTACTGTTGCAAGTGTGAATGACTCTAACCTCTGTAGCACTGCAGTTTACCACTCAAGTTTAATTCTACCATGAAGGACTCTGCAAGTAGTACTTTAATATGAAAGCTGGATCATCATGCTGTTGTATTCTTAAACTAACAGGAGTCCATTACGTATATGACATGCACTAATTTTTATTTGCATTGCACAAGGGTTCAGAAAAGATTGAGATACTGTTGCAGTCTACAAAACCCAAAACCAAAACAAAACACAAAAGTCCATGGCTCTTACTCAGAAGATCTTACTGTCTAGTTCAAGAAACAAAATGACAGGGTTCAACAAATATTAAGGAGGGACAAGTAAAGAAGGATTACAGAACAAGACAAGTGTTCCGTATGCTAAAAAGCATGCCCAGATGGATGGTTTTGAATCACTGAAAAGGCAGTATTTACTCATGAGTTATCCATCATCTTGTGAGAATGATTCATAAGATTTATCACTAAAGAACAAATTCTGTCAGGTACTGCCAGGCACTTCTGCTTGACTAGTGCCTTAAGGTTGAGCTGCAGCCCTGCGCTGCCCTGTGAGAGTCCTTATTTCTTTCCTCAGCACATCTGTTTTGAATTTATTATGTGCAAGATAAACTAACCAATAGTTTGTCATTGGAAGACGTTTTGTGTTTGCTTGTCAATTTTCAGAAGAGGCTTCTATGGAGAGAAATCACAGCATCATTTAATTGTACAGCCTCTGCCTCCTGCTTCTTTTTCCCTCCATAGCTCAATTTATTTACTTAAAAAAAAAAAAAAAAGGCAATAAAACTTAAGGACTTAAATGCTTAAATGAACCCCTCCTAAGGCATGTCAAACAGAAAATGCTTGTGGGAAGATGATAATTTCCACACTGAAGTGACAGCTTTACTCCCTTAGCAGTCACCTTGTTCAGAAGATAAACTAAGTATCTCCAACAGCTTCCAGGTGAAGCCTCAAAGATATTATGTATTGAAGTAGATAAAGCAGTTGTATTTTGGTCTTAGATAGTATCCAGACTTGGAGAACTCTGACTTCTAGAAATATATTGATTTTTGTGAATGATTGTGAAATTTAGCTAATGTAGGAAAATGAAATTTTGCAGTCTTCCACAAAGTGAACTTACAAAAGAAATTTTCCTTTGCTTCAAATGCAACTTGTTTTATTATTTTTAAGACAATGGGAGCAAATAGTGATGTTAAGAAAAGTTTAAATGTTTTGTTCTGGAAAGTGAAGAAGTGAAGTGTTGACAGTTTTCTGAATGTTTCCAAGTTCAGTGTTTGTCCTGGCAGAGTAGGAAACTATTAAAATACCTGACTAGATCTGCTAGTCATATCGCTATAGCTCTCCAAAGATAATATTTTTTCTGGGTGCTTTTCAGAGGAATAATAGAAAAAATTATGACCGTAGTGAAATGTCATTTCCCTGACACCATCTATCACTGTAAATTAACACACAGGTGCGTGTACATGTGCCTGTGCACACATATACTCACACACAAAGAACTTCAGAATCAGAGTGTATAAATACTGTGCTGCCAACATGAACTACCTCACCCTGGCTGCTGGTATTCCTAATAGCCAAAGGAGATCAGTGTTAGCTGGCAAGGTAAGCCTCTGCTCTAAGTTTGCCACGTGTATATTTATTTATTTATTGATTCAGTTCTGAAAAGGATCTGAGTAGAATCTATCACCCATTCTCTATCCTCTCCCATTCTCAAAATTCTTTCTTTACTTGCCAAATCTTGCTGTTAAAAAAATAGCATAACCCTTCAGTTTCACCGCTTCAGTGCTGTCAAGTGAGATTTACAACAGCTGAGGTTCTGTGTCTACATTTTTATTTTAATCAGCTTTGGTAAGGTGTATGTTAATGTTTGCTAATACACCATCAAATAGTTGGCTTATTAATTAGAAAAGGGTTAACAATACATTTGGGTGTCAAGGGGACACACACTTTTGTTCCTTACCTCTGAAAGAATGTCTTAAAAATCTTTTCTTTAGAAAGCAAGAGCCTTTTCTAAAAGTGTGAACTTTCTGTTTAAAAAAATTCTGTCAAAAGTATTGTGACCTGTCCTATTACCCATACAACGTCTGTTTTCCACATGGAAAAGCATGATTTCTATACCATATGGTGCTATGCTTTTTACATACATTGGTGAATTCAGGGGATACTTGAATTTCAATGTGTGAAATCAGGGAATGTAGACAGTATATTTTGTTGAGTTTTAAAATTAGTCTTAAACCCAAGCAAATTTTGTACTAGTCTTGTGGCACTGAGGCCTTTATCAAAGGTAGACTAGACATGAGGAAGAAACTGTTTTACAATGAGGCTGGTGAAACACTGGCACAGGCTGCCCAGAGAGGTGGTAGAAGCCCCATCCCTGGGAACATTCAAGGTCAGGTTGGATGGGGCTCTGAGCAACCTGATGGAGCTAAAGATGTTCCTGCTCACTGGGGGGGG